AAAACCCCAGGCTGCACCGGTTTTTGGTCGAAGTCTATATAAGCAAGCAGTTCACCAGTTTGAGTCAGCAGTTTGCACACTGGAGCCAGAGAGTTGCTGCAGAGAGCTGGCAGAGAAATTTAATTTAACATATATACAAATGCTATGAGTTGTGTATGATTCCTGCCTCCGACATTGCCTTCCTACAAACAGCAAGTTCTACTGACAGACGAAGTTGAGCCAGATGACTTAGAAGACCAGAACTTGCCTAGAAGTAAAATAGTGTCACTCTCAGTAGAAACATGTTGGGAAGAAAACACACAAGAGAACAGACTGATAAAAGCTGATTTGCTTTCTTTAAACATACTCAAACCTTTTTGGTTTTCATTTATTTCTTTTTGCTTGTGTGATGTCACCTCCAATTTAGACTCATCTTGCATTACGGTCCCAGTGCCTGATTGATCTCATTAACATAAGATCAAAATCACAATGTGGGTAGGTTAGACTTGAGATCAAGGTAGTTACTTCAGTAACCAGTCATTAGAATGAGCTGAGAATGACAGAGCTGGTGCCAAACTGGTTGCATCTGGTGTGAAGTTGTTATGTATTCGTGCCGTTAGAATCAACCAACCATCCCATTTGGTACCCTGACCAAAGGATCCCGCCGGGTAGCAATGACCGCTGATTGACTGGGTCACATATTGGTGGCAGTGACTAAGAGTCAAACCCAGACCACCCCAGTAGATCTCTGTTATGGTATAGCCCAGAGAAATGGCGGACTTGACCTTTTCAGAAATTTTGGACATTATAAAGATAAATTTGTGTCCAAAAAAGAAATTGGTTATTGCTGAGAGGACAAAATTTAAAGCAAGCAAACAAAAGCCAAATGAAACAATAATACAATATGTAAGCAAGCTATGAGAGGCTTCCAGATGCTGTGAGTTTGAAAAACTTGGCACTGGAGAAATGATCATTGAAAATGAGTTGATAAAGTTGGAATTAATTGAAAGTATGTGTGATGCTTCATACAAACAAAAATCCTTAGAACAGTTACAACTGACTAAAATGTCCTTGGATGCATCTATAGAGTTTCTGCAACAATTAGAGTTAATTGAAAAATTCAATATATCCAAAAGTAATGTCAAAGCATAAAGCATATTGAATTACCTTGTGTGATGCAAACACTATGATAAAAAAAACATGAACAGAATGAGAAAAAATATCCAGCTTTAGGACAAATATGCTGGAATTGTGAAAAGAAAAAACATTTCCAGTCTGTGTGCAGGTATAAAAGGAAAATAGAAAGGTTAGAAAATTACCCACCTCAATAAAATAAAGCTGTATTTGTGATACAAAGACATAAAGAGAAAAGTGCTAGAAAAAAAATTAAATTGAATAATATGACTTTTCCTACACAAGTAGATAGAGAGTGATATCATCCTAATCCCAATAAATTTCTGGGAACAAATAGGCAAACCCAAATTAAAGAAAAGTTGGCTTAAACTATAACAGTTCAATAACTTTTCATCAAAATATTGGGTTGTTTTGAAAGAACTTTTGAGACTGACACAAGCTTCAAAATTATTTCTATAATGGTAGTGAAATGTGAAAAAAGTTATGGACTCATGGGAATAGATGTCTTGAAAGTGGATAGAACCAAATTAATTACCAGTGTCAAGTTAGAAAGTAATGACATAAAGATGTTAAAAGGATACAAAGCGAGCATTCAATTAAAAGAAAATAGTCAAAACCTCTTACTTTGAGGCTTGCAGATTGCCCATTCATATGCTACTTTTGGTAAACTAAAAACAATGGTGGAGCAAGGAATTTTAGTAGAACATGTTCCTCCTGGTGGTAGTAACTGGGCCTCATCTATCATTGTTTTACATAAACTGGATGGCAATTTAAGGATATGTAGAGATTACAAAATAGGAGTAAACCACAAAATATGGCCCCGACACGTTCCCTGTTCCTAACATTGAAACTGCTATTCATGAGTTGTTGGGAATTAAATTTTGATAAAATTGATCTCAAATCTGCCTATAATCAGATACAAATAGATGAAATATTTAAAGAGGTCATTACAATTAACTCTCATAGGCTTACTCAAATGGAAGCATATGCCTTAAATTGTAAAAACAGCAAGTGCTATTTTTCAAAGAGCCATTGAAAATGTACTAACTGAATATGATCATCTATAAAGATGATATTGGTGCTACTCATAGAGAAGTGCTAAAACAAAAATGGATTATTTTTTAAACAAATTAAAAACTGCTGGGATGACTGTAAACAAGGATAAATATGAGTTAAATTTTTATACAGTATCATATCTGGGATATCAGATTTTGAAAGAGGAATATTTCATTAGACACAAATTTGATAAAGAAAATAGCAGAGGTATCTACTTCTTCAAATAAAAAATTGGAATCTTTTTTAAGGTTAACCAATTTTTATAGCAGAAAGAGCTTATAAAAATATGTAAAAAATTTTTACTCTAAAAAGGAAGTAACTTTAACTACAGACATAACTGAGCGTGCCATATCAGCGATTTTGTCTCAAGAAGATCATCCTATAACCTATCAGAGGCTAATTATTCAAATATTGAAAAAGAAGCATTAGCTATCATATGGAGCACAGATAGGGCTTGCAAATTTTTATTTGGCGGGAAGTTTCTGTTTAGGTCTGACCATAAACCTTTAGAGTTTGTTTTTAACCCTAGGAAGGAGTTACCTAAAATTACACCTAGAATTTTAAGATGGGTCTTTGATTTTGACATTGAATACATGAAAGTAAACACTATACCACATGTAGATGCTCTATTAAGAGTAAAGTTCAGACTATTTTTAATTTTGGTTGACTCATTCTATGGATGGCCTCAAGTGGTTAGAGTTCAGGATAGGAAGGCAGCCATGGTAAAGCAAATATTATGAGTAATATTTTCCAGAAATAGGGTACCAAAAACATTAGTCTCTGACAATACACAAGAATTTTATGATGAAACTTTGTGTTCATGGTTAAAACAAATTGGATGCCTTCCTTATAAAACATCCCCATACCAACCACAATTGAATCAAATGGCAAAAAGAATGGTGCCAATGGTGAAAATGAGGTTGAGCACATTTTTCCCATCCAGAGACACCATAGATAGTTATCTACCAAAACTGTTACTGAATTATTGAACTATTCTACATGCTGGTAGAATGCAAAGTCTGTTTGCATTGATGGAAAGGAAAACTAGATTGCCTATAACAATGTCCTATTCAATAAATGAAAAAATGTGGTAAAAAAAGACAGAGAATCAAGTCCTGAAAAGGCTAACTTTATTGCACCAGATCAAATAAGACCTAGGATTGATGATGAAAAAGGAAGAAGAAGAGGCACCTTGAATAGAGGAAGGCATGAGTGCTTCTGATGGAGAAAGTGTACATAGTAGTAAAGTAACTATGGGGGATAGTTTGCACGAACCCAACATGGAAGATCAGAATGAAAATGAGCCCAGACCTAGATCTCTAATAAAAACAACCAGGTACACACCTCAAGAGAGAGATAAGATCTTGTACTATAGTTTGGAGAAATCATAGATCAATGAAGAGTATAAAACCTCTTTGTTTCTGGGAGGTGTAGTAACATAGGCAAAATAGTCATGGAGGTAGAACTTCTGTATCACAGACTAGAAGACATCACAACACCCATATGTCAGCTAAAGAAATAGTAACAATTTGGATCTAGTAAGAGATTTTGTTAGGCATTCTAGTAAAGTTACCAAATCCAACAGATACCTGAAGAAGAAGGCTGAAAAGTGATAATGACAAGAATGATAAAAAAGTGCTGGAGCAAAACAACTCAATGTGCCATAATAACAACATTTATAACAATATTTTCTATCAGAAATCCAAATAAAAACTTATGAGTTCACTATAGTAATTGTCTTCTCATAGCTAACATTTAAAGGACTAAATAAATCAAGCCATTTGTGGCTCATGATTAAATGATTTATTTCATAAACTTCATCAAGTTAAAATAACTTGATGAAGTTTATGAAATAAATCATTTAATCATGAGAAACATTGCTCTATTTCTCCTGGCTAAAAACTTTTCTTAGACCACTGTATAGTAGAATCAAACATAAAAATTGCAGAGACCATACATCTGATGACAAGCAGTAGTTTTTGCCCTCCAACAGAAATATTGGTAGACAAATAAAATGTGATATTATTCTTAGACTATCTCTAATGGTAGTAGTTTTGCGGAATAATCATCTCTTACTATCAGACAATTTCAACCATCTTAATTTGACATTGTGATGTAAGTAGCTCTTCCTTATTTTGTAGGATGGAGGATAGAAATGTCCTTCAAATATACCAGAATTTTAGAGGTCATCTTATATGCCAGTATATACAATATTTTTCAAAAGGAAAAATACACTAAATGAACAATTATAAGAAATATACATGCACAAATGTATGTGTGTGTATGTGTATGTATATATATATATATATATATATATATATATACACACACACAATATATATATAAATTAAATGGCATGGCAAAAAATAAGTTCCTACTTTTATAATATAGAATTCTATAAAATGAATGTTAAATATTTCAAAGTAGGACTCATCTTCTAGTTTAACACATATATAAATAGCATTTTAAATACATATACAGATAATCAGAAAATTGAGTTGTGAAATAAAGTTCAGTTGAATTATAAAAAAGTGCAATGCATAAAAAAATAAATACTGGATGTGATTTCTAAATCAAAATACTTTAGTTATATTGTGTATAGACCTTTACTTCAATTTGGATGATATCAAAATACTTCTCAAACTTTACACCTTTTTCCTCAACACATCCACTTCTAGTACAACTAGTTTTCATGATATAACATATATACATGATATAACAAAATTATATTCAATTTACATGAAAACAAATTCTATTTATGCATATTTACAAACAGTTATAAAATATAGCTATGTCTTCCTTCACTGCTTGTCAGATTTTTTTTGTCTTACCTCAAACTGTGCCATGGCTGCCCCACTCTCCAGGCTTTCCTGTAGTAACATCATGGAAGCCTGGAGAGTGTTGGCCCCAGACATTGTACTTGTGATTTGATGAGTTTCAGGTATATACATCAAGTCTGGTTCCTCAGTACTATCCTCACTAACATAAACTGCAAAGTGAAAGATAAATAGTCATTGTTATATGAAAGCAGAAAGAAAAAAAAATCATACTTACATTTTAAGTTGATCAAGCATTTCAATTTTAACAAGGATATTTTAATCATTTCCCATATTCATTCCAGACCTATTTGTATTATATATATATATATATATATATATATATATATATATATATACACATACAGGGCATGATGGTTAAATTGTCACCATTTTATATTTTTTAATTTTGCACATGCATGTTGTTTTTGATTTTGTTAACTGCATAGTAACTATACTATAGGGTCAGTTGGGCATTGTCTGTGAGAATTTGGAAAGAGTTGGATGAGTCTAATGGTGATTACAAAGGTGTTTGGAGTGATCACTAGTGATGGAGATGTTATGCCTCCGTTCATCTTCGCACAGGGCCTCACTCAACATGGAGACCTACATCAAGTGCTTTGAGGAGGTAGTACTGACCTAGGTCAAGAGGGTGGCAGCTGGAAGACATTATGTCTGGCAAGTCACATAAACAGGAGAACCCAGTAATGGCTGTTAGACAATTTCTGCAACCATATCACTCCTTACATCTGGCCACCTAACTCCCCAGACTGAAACCCCCTTGATTATTATGTGTTGGGTGCAGTTGAGCAAGAGACCAACAAAACTCCTTGTAACACCAACGATGAACTGAAGGCAAAGATTATGGCAACATTCACCAACTTAAACAAGTATACAGTCCAGTAGAGTTGTAGGAGGTTCCAGTCATCTGTAGGCCATGGTCGAAGCCAATGGCAATTTTATTGAATAAATTTACTCTTTAGTATTTCAAGACATTTTTGTGTAATTTTTGTAAATATATCTGTTAAAATGAAATGTCAGTATTATTTTCACTTTTGACTACAATTTATCCATCACACTCTGTATATATATATACATTTTTTTTAAATTGCTATGGGTCCTTACATAGCCATTACAAATATCTTACACACAAGACACAAAATGATCATTGGCTAAACCATTTTTTTAAATATTTAATTAAATCAAATGATGTTTAAGATCAGTGAAGTAGGATTAAAAGGAAAATACATGATTAGATTTGAACCCATTTAAAACTATATTTGTTCTCTTATATTTTTAACATCAATACCAGGTCAACAGTGTTGAAGATAAAAAAAAGCTCAAACTTTATTTTGGAATTGGTTTTTATGATTGATTGATATTTTATTACTGTATAATATCTATATTCCATTTCTTAAAATTAGACATTATAGCTGTAAATACAAAGAATTATGAATATGAGTGTTTTCTTAAAAGAACATTCAAATTTAACTTACCATTAGGTCGGATTATGAGCACCAGTTCCCCTGAGTGCGTCTCTCGAGACGCTTTGATAAACATCACAACCTAGAAAATAAAATATTAACATAATAAAATACAAATCATAAATATAGCTCATCCAAAAATCGTTATTAGCTTCATATGTCTGATTGTCTAAGTCATTAATTTCTCAGAAAACTTTCTAAAATCATTCATGTTTATGTTTTCACATCTTAAAAGATATTTTTTATGCCTTTAGAAAGAATATGTAAGAAATAATAGGCAACAAGTTTAGATGAGAAAGTTAGGACAAAAAAAATACTGATATTTCTACTCAACATGTTGTACAAATGAATGCCTGAAGTAGACAAAAGAATACCACATCAATTAGTATTTTAAAAGTTTTTGTCTAAGCAACACAATCCTCTGTTTCTATTGGCATCTTTCAGATTAATACTAATTTAATACTTACAACTACTATATTTTATAGCTTTCTTCTTCAGTGTACATAAATGTATATGGATTTGATTTAATCTTTCTGTCATAAATGCACATTTCATTCTGATCCTGTTTAAAAGCCACAATGGCACAGAATATGTTAATACCAATCAACTCATTGGACTTCCTGAAACCAAAGCTTTCATAATATAAAGTAAAAGGTAATTTTTTTTAGCAAAGTATTTGGAGCAAAATGCACATTACATAATGGGAAACATAGTAATTATAATTTTTCCAATTTAAGGAATGATCGCATTTCAACCAAATTTGACACCTTCTTAGAGTCTACCATTAGAAGTGTTGTCCAGAAGTTTCATGACCACGGACCCCTAAACAGCGCGGAAAATCGATAAAACCCAAAAACCGATACGCCCAGATTGCGCCTGAACATAAAATATGAATGCATGTCGGGTTTTAGCGAAAACCGACCGGATTTATGAGGAGGCCATTGGGAGTCACCATGTGAAGTTTCAACTCTGAGCGTTATTTTATTTAATTTATTAAACCCCCCAAACAGAGTGCAAATCGACAATCGGTCAACCCTTAAAATGTTTTTCCGGTTGGGTATTTCCTAAATGCAGATTAATTTAGGTCACGCTATGCGCGGGAAGAAACAGGTCAGTGCGTGCAGTGGAGTGGAAGAAAACATTTGACCTCAAATTCTGGAATGGGTGCAGGGCCATTGAAATTCTGAAGGGCTTTTTTTATCCCTGCTACCAGGTCTGACTTTGAGCCACAAATGACATATTCGACTTTGTCAACACTTTTGCTTTAATCGTCGCATCTTACCAAAATAAGCACTTCCTTTATTCGCGTCTTTACTGAAAAAAAAAAAAACCGCATACGTGCTGGTGAAAATGGTTCCGCCCTCAGCAGTCCATTTTCCAATTCTTTAAACCTTTTCCCCTAGCCCAGGCCGCATCCCAGACCTGACGAGGAGTTTTTGCGCTAAAACAGCAGGGCTTCCTCCCAATCCATTCAAAAAAGCTAATGCCGGCAAACGGTTAGCGGCTTTTCGTTGTCGCACAAACCAAACGAGCAAACGCTTCATTGCAGCTAATCCTTGCATTCTCATCGCCGGCATCACGTGCGTTAGAGCCAAGCTGCATATGCAGCAGGCAGCTTGACCCCGTTTACGGCCAAGCCTTGCGCTTGCCAAATCATGCGCGCGTGCGTGAATGCGCGCTAGCATCTTCCATTTTGCGTGAGCTCATTCATTGGTCTAAGTCATGGCCATTGTCCAGGCTACACCAATCAATGACAAGTCACGCTTCCTTTAAATACCTTCAGCGCGGCTGCATCCGCCCTCACGTCTTGATTTGATCGCCATTAACGCATCTGTCCTTGGATTAATTGACAGCTTCCTGCTACCGCAAGTTACCTATTTGCTTAAACGTTTGCATTACCCATTTTATCTCAGTTCGTGCTGCCTCTACTGCGCAGCCCAGTCCATCTTAGCGTTCCATACCTATTTCTACCTTTTTCGTAGTTCAGTTTTTGCTATTAGACAGTTAACTGCTGTTGAAATCAAAAACAAAACTTATTTTACAATGCCCAACCTACACTGCCTTCTGCCTTTACTTTTACGCTGGCCCATCTTAACACCTCAGTGTTTTCATAGTTACTGCTTTTTAACCTTTCAACGCTTCAACGTTTTGGTTCAACGCTTAACATTTTTTTCCTACAGCGACGTTTTCGTGCTGCCAGAAAGCACGGCCCATAGCTAGGAGAAGTCTTTTTTCCATACCGCTCCACTGCATTTTTAGTTTTCATATACAACGAGGTTGCACCGCTTCAGCTTCGGCATCCTTCTATTCGCATTCTTACACAGCATTTCTACAACCCTTCAAATGGCTCCTACACGACGAACATCCGCACGTCAGCAACTGAAGACCCCTAATACCGTTAACGTTACACATGCAGAACAGGCGACTGCGGATGAGCACATAATAACTCCGGTTACAGATGATCATATAGCGTCTACTTCAACTTCTGCTTTGCACTCTTCTGTGTGCCGTGGCGATGACCAACCCGGCAGCTCTGCAAAGGCTGCAAAAACACACAGGCGAGGCAACTTTAGCAGGCGTTCTAAAAAAGCCTCACCGGCTAAGGGGAAACGGGAGCAGGATTCCATTGAGTGCGCCTCCTTGGGGGAGAAGCGGCTGGCGTCTACTTCAACCTCTGCTTTGCACTCTTCTGAGTGCCGTGGCGATGACCGACACGGCAGCTTTGTTAAGCGTGCCGAAATACCATGGCGAGGCAACCTTAGCAGGCGTTCTAAAAAGAGCCTCTGCGGCAAAGAGAAAGCGGGAGGAGGAAACCGAGGTAGAGGCCTCTTTGAGGCTTTCCAGTCAATCTCAACGGAGGCAGTATGTTTTGTCACATGAAACGCTTGGTGAGCGTAATAACTACCGTTTGTACTGCAAATCAGTTTACACATATTCGTTGAAAAGTAAGAGGAAACTACCTAAACGCTTGCAAGACAACAAAAAAAGCGGCTTCATCACAAGCGCTTTTTGCGGTCTCGACAGAGCCCGCATCGAAAAGCTACTCGCAATGAAGCCGAGGATGCTGCAACTTCCATTCGACGGTCCCTGGAGACCACGGCTGAGAAAACCGCACGTAACGCAGCGAAAGCTGCGGCAACGTCCATTCGACGGTCCCAGGAATCCATGGCTGAGAAAACCGCACGCCATGCAGCTGACGCCGCTGCAGCTTCTGCTGCAAGGGCGTCGGAAAGTTCCGCGCAAAAGCGCACAAGGCGGCAACGCGATGCAATTTCAACTTCCGCTGCTAGAGCTGTAGAAGGACCTACTGAAAGGCTTGAAAGGTTGCAGACTGTTAACCAGCGCCGCCATGCACAGCGAGGGCTCTGTAGCCCACCAAAGCAGTTTTGGTTTAAGCTGGCGTTCAACTATGAGCCAGTTTTGAGGCTTTCCGGTCGCAAAGACCTCCAAATAGGATCCATGTCAGTTGTCTGTGGGCATTGCAATGCCAAAAAATGGCCTGGAGAGTCTGCAGGTTTGTGTTGTTCAGACGGTAAGGTACAGTTGCGACCTTTTCGAGAGCTACCTGCTCCGTTGAAAGCTCTGTTGGAGGGTTCCAGTCCAGACTCCAAACATTTCCTCGCAAAAATCAGACAGTACAATTGTGCCTTCCAGATGACCTCTTTTGGTGGTAATGCCTTCCGCGAAGTCGGTTGGAATCCCACCTTCAAGGTTCAAGGTCAGGTTTACCACCGGATTGGGTCTCTTTTGCCGGAAACTGCCACTGATTCGGCCTTTCTACAAATATACTTCATAGCTGACTCCAATCAACAGGCAGATGCCCGCATGGGCATTATTCCCGAGAACGATACAGGCCAGGACAATCATCCTCGCAGGAATATAATAAATAGTCTCCAACAAATGCTCCACGAGACAAACAGCTATGTCCGCAGTTTTAAGTATGCTCTCGAAAATAACCCTTCTTCTGATTTCATTATTGTAATTGATGCTGACAAACGGCCTCAGGGAGAGCACGAACGTCGTTACAATGCTCCCGCCTTTTAACGAAGTTTCCGTCATTGTCAGCGGTGATCAGCACAACAGACGTGACATTGTTATCGAATCGCGCGTCAGTGGGCTCCGAAGAATCAATGAAACACACCGGCCCTACGATGCACTGCAATACCCACTTCTCTTCCCTTACGGAGAACATGGGTACCACTTTGGCATTCTGAAAAATGGGTCCACCTTAAAAACAGTGTCATGCAGGGCTTTTTACGCCTACCTATTGATGGTACATGAGGGGTCAATCATCTTAATCGAAGCCGGCAATTTTCCATCAATTCATAGTAGACGTGGCTGCTAAGATGGAATCCGAAAGACTCTGTTCTGTTACATCAGAGTGAATCAGACCAAGTTGCGCTGCGACTCTTACATTCACCTCCGTGATGCTTTACGAAATGACGCTGATCCACGCAATATAGGCAAGATGTGCATACTACCTGCAACGTTCACAGGCAGTCCACGATACATGCACGCGAGGACGCAAGACGCGATGACATACGTTCGTAAGTACGGCCGACCAGACCTATTCATAACTTTCACGTGTAACCCAAAATGGTACGCAATTGCTAAACAACTTATGCCAGGGCAATCGGCCTACGACCGTCCAGACCTCATTGCGCGCGTTTACCATCTGAAGTTGGGAAAGCTAATGGATGTGATTACAAAGGGTCAGGTTTTTGGGGCTGTTTGCTGTCGCATGCACACTATTGAGTGGCAGAAACGCGGCCTGCCTCACGCACATATACATATATCATCTTATTTCTGCTGAAATTCCTGATCCGTCGGCTGACTCTGAATTGTACGAAATAGTGCAACGAACATGATTCATGGTCACTACGGGTCGCATTACAATTACACCAGCTGTCACAACAGCGACGGCAAATGCACCCGGCAGTACCCACGAGATTGCGTGAGAAAAACCATTACAGGGAGCGATAGTTATCCACTGTACTGGCGAAGGAGTCCCGCTGAGGGAGGATTTACAGCCGCGGTAAAGGGCCACCAAGTGGATAACAGATGGGTAGTGCCATACTGTCCCCCTGCTAACAAAAGCGTTCAATGCGCACATCAATGTCGAATATTGCCATTCAGTTCGCTCCATCAAGTATGTATGCAAGTACATCAACAAAGGGACTGATGCTGCAATGTTTGGTATTAGGCAGGAAGGTTCCATAGACGAAATCCAGGACTTCCTTGCAGGGAGCGTCATTAGCAGCATAGAGGGCCCTTGGCACATATTCAGCTTCCCTATCCACGAACGCTTCCGAGCAATCGTCCATCTTGCTGTGCACCTAGAAAACGAAGAACTTCGTTATTTTTCTGCGGATACAGCAATGGATGTGGCTGCGCGTACCAAAGACACAACGCTTACAGCGTTCTTCAAAATTTGTCGACAGGACGAGTTTGCTAGGACTCTACTGTAACCAGACGTGCCTTCATACTACGTGTGGACAAAAAAGAACACCTGGGCTCGGCGGAAGTGTGCAGGCCAACGTCGAGGGCTATCCAGGCGTCAAAAAAAGACGCCACACTCGGAAGGGTATTCACGGTTCCCCCATCGCGACAGGAATGTTTTTACTTGCGACTTCTTTTGCACGAAGTTAGTGGTCCAACGAGCTACAATATCTTACAGACGGTTAATGGAGTTTTATGGACACTTTTCGTGAGGCCTGCCTCCGTCTCGGCCTTTTGGTTGACGACAACCAGTGGGATGCCACAATGGCTGAGGGAGCTCTTTTAAAAATGCCCTCTGCTTTGCGCCACCTCTACACCACAATCTTACAAATGTGAGAACCCGGTGATCCTAAATCACTTTGGTACAAATACAAGGACCTTTTGTCCGAAGACATACTCAAAGAAGCGCAAATGCTGTGTCCAACAATGGCTCTTACATTCAACGATGAAATTTACAACGCTTATAATCATTGAGAACCTGTTTGTTGAAATGGCGGGGGATCTCTCGCCGCTATTGGGCTTCCAACGCCAGATCGTGTGGCTTCCTCCAGTCTCTCACCTGAGATTGTGCAGGAGACATCCTACTCTGTTGAGGAGCTCAACGCCTATGTCAACAAATGAGCCAAAACTTCTCATAGACCAAAGGGCCGCTTACGATGCGGTTCTTGCATCCACCAGGCAGGATACAGGATCAATTTTCTTCCTGGACGCGCCTGGGGAAAGGGGAAAACGTTCGTAACAAAACTGCTTCTTGCAGAAATTCGGCGCCATGGCGAAGTGGCGCTAGCAGTAGCGTCTTCAGGCATTGCTGCCACATTACTGCCGGGTGGCCGAACAGTGCACTCAACGTTTAAACTTCCGCTTGACCTGATTAAGGCAGAAACAGCTGTATGCAGTATAGCCAAGCAATCAGGTCTAGCGGAGGTACTCAGGCGATAAGCTCATCGTCTGGGATGAGTGCACTGTCAGTCCCAAAACTGCACTCGAGGCTGTAAACCGCTCTCTGAAGGATATTCGAAACTCCGATGACCTTATGGGAGGTATAACTGTCCTTCTATCCGGTGACTTTCGCCAGACCCTCCCCGTTGTACCTAGGGGGACAAGGGCCGACGCTATTCGGGCGTGCTTGAAATCGTCACAACTTTGGCCCACTTTTAGACCATTGCACCTTACCACCAACATGCGTGCACAACCTACTTGGCGATGTTGGGTCCGCCGAATTTTCGAATTCATTATTAGCCCTTGGCGAAGGTATTATTCAGCGGACTCTAATGGATTTTAAACGTCAAGGGTTGTCTACAGTGGTCACAACGCCAGCAACACTCAGGGAATCAGTTTTTCCTGATCTTCAAACCAACTACAACAATATTGAGTGGCTTTTGGGCGGGGCCATTAATAAAAAACACCACTGTGACAACCCTTAATAGACAGCTTCTGGAAACTGTGCCAGGGGTGTTGCACGTTTACAAATCCATTGACAGAACTCCAGACCCCACTGAAATGGCGAACTTTCCAGTGGATTTCTTAAACAGCCTCCACCCCGCTGGTCTCCCTCCTCACATTCTGGAACTTAAAGTGGGGATCCAGGTTATGTTGTTTAGAAACCTGCGTCCACCGAAACTCTGTAATGGGACCAGGATGGTTATTCAGGCCCTACACCCAAACATT